TTCCCCCTGCCCCGAAGCTGCCTGGACCTGCAGGCCTCAGCTGGGTTGGCCGGGGTCACCGGCACCACGTCTCCCACCGAAACCACATCCCCGGGATGCTGCCTGGTACGGGGAGCGCGTGCCAGATCTCCGGGCTGCTTTGCCAGCGGGGCACGGCCGAGCCGCGCAGGCGCCCGGGAAGCTGCCCGGGAAGCCCAACCATTGCCAGCACCCCAAAGGCAGCTACGGCGGGTGTCGTGGAAGAGGATTTGGGAGAGTAAGAGGGGTAAACCCCATCCTGTTTATGGGGGGTAAACAGGACGACCCCATGCTGTTCGTGGGGTAAAACCCCATCCTTTTCCAACGCAACCTCTCCGCCAAGGGTTCCCCCAATCCAACCCCTTGGGTTGTCAAGCCACGTTCGAGCAGTAAACACAAACGTTTGGACAGGGCAGGGCAGGAAAACCACCTCCAGCGCCGAGCGGGTGGACTGAACCATCGCAAGCGCCACCCCGAGAGTCTGACGTGGGTTTTTCAGCCTACCCCAAAGCGAGTTTGGCCAAATTAACACCAACATGGTTAAGTTTTCTTAAAAACTCTTCCCCTGCCTGCCCCGAAAACGAAGCTGTGGCGGGCTGAGAGCAGCGGGCTCTGCGGACAGGTGAAGGCCACGCGCGAGGCTGGCAGCACGCCGCCGGTCCAGCAGTGCTGCTGCGCTCTGGGGGAACGAATTCAGCGAGACAGGCAATCCCACCGCGGGTCGGCACAGCTTCCAGCAGCTCCTCTCTCAAGGCACATCATAACCCCAGCAACCGGCCCCGAGACTGATACGGTGACACCCGAGGGCAATAAATTCGAATCTGCCCCCGTTAGGGTTTCAGAGAAACAGCTAATCTTATCTTCACAAAAGGCAAGTTTATCGGCAGCAATTGCCGTTTCTTCTGTTCCTCGTTATGAAAAGCTGGCGTATCGTAACGTCGCCACTGAGCTTAATTAGCAGGTATTCAAATGCTATCTGCCAAGGCTGATTGGAACAGACGCTCATTGTCTGTTAGGATGTTGCAGGTTCAGCCTCCTCATCCGCCTTCTCCCCCTCCGAGATGCCTCGGCCTCCGCCAGCATCTCAAGCCAGAGCACGCGCGCGTTATGCGCAGGTACTCGCGCCAGGGGCCCAGCGTGAACATTCCCACGCTAAAATCGCTTCCTCGATGGCAACTCCTCTCCCAAAACCCAAACAGGATTCCTTCTGGCCTCCCAGTTAAACCCTCTCATTTCGAAAGACCACTGGGAATCAATCCCTGCCCACCAAGTCGTGAGAAACAAGTGGAAACCAGCACGAAGGTTCCGGAGTGGAGGATAAATCCCGGCAGAACACACGGCTGAGCCCCCACTCCCGCTGGAATTGATCCACTGCTTTGGGAAGCAGCACCGCAGCCGGAGGCAGGGCAGGCAGGGACCCTCTTCTCCGCGGTGCCCCACGGAACAGATCCCGGCCCTGCCCTCACGGGGCCCAACACCTGCCCCACGGCAAAGAACCGTCTGCAGACACACAGGGACGGTTTTTGCTATTTCTGGAAGCGGCCTCGGGGCGCAGCGAAACTTCCTGTGGCCACCACGTGTGGGACACAGGTGTTCGGCTGAAAGGGTTTAAGGCATCTCAGCCTTTGTTTTTTGGGGGAAAAAACAGAGTTTCAGGGTGCCCCCGGGCTACCCACCCCACTGACCTCTCCCCAGCAGGTCGGGAGTGTCTGGCTGGGATGAATAAAGGACAGAAGCCGTGTTTATTGCATCGATCTCCATAGCAGGAGGCACCAAATGATTTTTATTTCTCCCTTATATGGCATTTCTGTAACTTTAACGGTACGAAAATGATTAATAAAAGCATAAAACTGGAAACAAAATTATTGAGAGTGTCTCCTCCGGCACTCCAAGGCCCATCGGCAGCAGGGGCTGCGCTGGTGTATTCGCCCCCGGACGGAGAGGCTGAGACTCGGTCCCGGTAACAGGACGCGCTCCGTTCTCAGAAGGGAAGAGACTGCCTTTCCCGGGAAGCAGGAAGGCACTCAAGGCGTGGGCTACTCTTAAGCCTGGCTGGTGGGAATCCTCAAGACAAGGTCCTGGTTCTTCACTGGATAAGCACTCTCGGGGCACGTGCTTTAGATGTCCATGTCAAACTGCTCTTCCTCGCCTGTCGAGAGGGACAAAACCACAAGTGGGTCCTCAGAATTCCACATCAAATACCAACTATTTCAGTGAAGAGGCACCAGTCAACTGTGCTCCAGGAACGTGGAGCTGCCGCTCCAACTCTGCATTTGGGCATCGAGTCCGAAAGGAAAATCACCTCCTACAAGCAAAACGTCTGCCTAGAGGGGATCTTACTTGCAGAGAGACGAGCAGAAGTAGAGATGCCCTTTAAGTAATTCATTTCTGTCCCCACACTCTTTTTCACACGGAAATCCACGGAATAACGCTGATGACAACCCCTGGTAGAAACACCTGGTGCCGAAGACACAGGCGCACGTTTCCCGCTCGCTGTCCCTCCAGCTGCCCCCACGGCTCACACCGTCCCACGGGACGCCAACGCCAGCAGCGACCATCTGCCCCTGCTGCCTGGGACGGGGCTCCAACCAAGCTGGCAGCCAGCGTTCCCTGCGCCAGGGAATCCGCTGCCGGTCACGACGGCGCCTAACAAAAGGCATGGTGCGATGCCGGCTCGGAGCGAGCGCGGGAGCCAGCGAACGAGCATGCCGAAATTTATTTTTAGAGAGAACACAAATAATCCTACTCAGCAGTTTCAGGTTGCTTCAAGGAGTATCTCACAGCTTAAAAAAAAAGAGCATTCAAGAGCAATAACTGCTCATCGTGCTGTTAGGGAAGTGTCGGGGCAGAAGTTGGCCGACAGCCTCTCACCTCCTGGGGACCCCACCCACGGACACCCGCTACGTCCGCAGAACCCCCCTGCGACGGACACGGCCTACGGGATATGCCCCAAGCAGGAATTCTATCCAACGCAAAGCCGGCTCACTCGTACGCCAGCTGCCTCGGGGGTGAGCAAAGTCACGGCTCGGGCTGGTATTAAAAGCCCCAGCCCCACCCTGAGCTGTAATCTAATCTTTGTGAAAAACGCAACGCAGCTGCACAACGGCCGAAAACGGGAGAGGCAGCACCAGCTGCACCCACGCTCTCGCCACAGGAGCATTTCCCAAGGGCTAAATTAAGGGGAATTAAGGAATTATAACAAATTACACTTCATTAACTGAAGAAAAAGATGAGTCCCATTAGCGGGGAGCACAGCACAACCCAAAACCAGGAGCGCCTAATCACTTGGTGCCACCAAGCACAGGCAGGTGCTCGAGAAGTTAGAGCACTGGCCACAGCTTGGAGGGAGCCCCGGGCTCCTTTCCACACGCATTCCAGGACTTGTGGGGCGCAGCGGTGCCCCGCACTCACCCGTGCTCGCTTTCTCATCACAGTTTTGGACGTGGTTGTTCTCAGTCTTTAACTCTTCCACATTCGGGCTCGTAACACCTGGAATGTCCGGAAGGTGGGACGGTGGCGTTTTGGCAACCGGAGAATTGCGACACTCCATCAAAAATTTCCGATCGTAAATAATCCTGGTTCCTGGAAGGAGAGAACAACACAGTTTTTAGGTTTGGAATGAGACATGGCTGGGCCATCTTCACAGCTGGAAGGGCCAGACTGGACACCTATTACTTATCACTTGCTCTGTTCATTCTGCGCTGCCTTAAAAAGAAAAGCCGGATACAATTAACACTCTGCCAAAAACACGGTATGAAAGAGGTACCCAAGTAATAGGTGACGCTACCGGTCTGGTGCACAGGGAGAACAAGACCGCGAGGCCCAGAGCGATGCTGCGTGGGGTAGGTAGAAGGGGCTGGATCGTCAAGGTCACAGCAAAACCCGAAGAAACCAAAACAGTGAAGTGAACTTAACGTCGGCTCGCAAACGCTCGGCGCTTTTCCAAGGCACCCGGGGCCGAGAGCTGTAGGCAGACACAGGCACACATCAACGGGCCGGGGCTCCTTACTTCTCCCAACTCCGCCCAGTGGGAGCTCCTGCACCTCCTTTTGCCGGCCGTCCTGCAGGCTTACGCCTTCCAAAAGGCTCGGACACGGAGCTGTTACTGCCCGTCTGTTTTACTGGTAACCAGAGCACGCCCCACTCCCCCTGCCCTCTCCGGAAGGAGCCAGCTCCAGCCCAGCCTCCGCGGGAACAGCGGCTCCCAGCACGGATTTCTAGGAATACCGCTGGACTGAACAGCCTGTTCCTCATAAAGGAATTGCCTTGGAAAAAGATCAAAACCACACAGAGAAAAGGGATCCCTGCAAACAGACTGCAGCCTTAACCCAGGAAGTACTGAAAATCAAGTTTTTCTTCTCCCCGAGAGGTCGGCCTGCAACCCTCCTCTCTGGATCAGGCCCTCACCACTCTGATCCCGTTCCAGCGAGAGGGAAGGGCAACTTCTCGTGTACTCCCTGGAAAACTTTAAACACACGTGCAGGGCAACAAGCTCTGTCCAGGGACTCGGTACGGTTTGAAGCAGGGCTCTAGAATAACGCAGCTGGGTCCCATGTTTCAAGACAGTTCTGCTAACGAGCTCCCAAAACGCTGGAAACCTTTTCACAAGGAGGCTGTGAATCTGAGTTGCTTCACTCGATGCAAGGGGAGATCTAACCCAAGCAGAGCTGGGCTCCAGTCCTGGCTTTGAGAAGGCAGGCGAGGCTAGCGTTGAATTCCTGGGAGGTTCAGAGGCGAGGACAGGGCTTCCTAGAAGCCCAGCTGAGTACCAGGAATCAGGAGCACAGTCCAGGCAGATTAGAGCTTCCCCACCTGGTTCACGTTCCTCTGACAGTCACATGCCCGGAGCTTGGGAAAGCGAAGCCGTAGCTGTCAACAGGCACGGCCCGAGGCCGTGGACAGGCTCCTCCCGAGGTAAAGCTGCACTGGTAGCAGCCCTGCGCTGTATGGGACCCTAGTCCCTGTTTAGTAGTAAAGACCCCCTGGGGACTGCTCTGCCCCGGAAAGCCCTGCCTGTATCTCCCACAGCTCCGACTCCCGCTGCACAACTCGGGAATTCGGATGCGAGTTCGGCTCCCTTTGAGTATTTCCATCAGGATGAAACACGAGGTTTGAGGAAGCGTCCGCTACCGCACCTCTTTCCTTTCCTGCTCCCTGACGGAGCCCAGGCACCCCGAGCTGCCTGCTCTAAGGGCCACCCCATCCCTCTGGCCGAGCCAGCAGCGCCGGAGGCAGCTCCTCCGCCCAAGGCACAGCCAGCACCTGCGGCACCCGTGGCAAGCACCGCGGCTCGCCGTGCCTCTCGGCTCGTGACAAGCTGGAGGGCCTCCCCAGCTACTACTGCACGTGGGTTTACTGAAGGACAGCGCGTGCACGTGCCCTCGGCGAGGAGCCAGGACAGGCACAGTCCTTTCCCCTGATTGCTGACTCGAAACCACAGCAAGACCGCTCGCCCGGGTCAGTCCCGCAGCGGGCTGTGCTGCTCCCCTGCTACCGGTTTAGAGCATCCCGACACAAGACTGTCCGCCCACCCCTTCTATCCTCTGTTTCGGGGTGTCACCTCAATACTTCTGGAGACTCAACAGCACCCTGCTCCAAGAACTCCCTCTCTTTTCCTCAGGAGGCAAAGCTTGTGGTTCGGACCCCAAGCAGCAAAGCCAGACCAGAGCAGAGGCGGTAATGAAAAGGCGGATCCGCTGGCTGGGAAAGGGGAGCGTTCCCCGCTCCGACTCCACACCCTTGGCTGGCAGACGCACACAGCTGAGCGCACCGCAGCGAGCCCCAGCTTTCCAAAAGCCTCCAGTCACCCAGCGCTGCTGCTGCGGGTCCGTGGCTCTGGCACGGAGCCCTTTTTCCAATCGCTCACACCCCTGGCACTACGTCCAGCCGGAGGGATGAATTCGGAGATACCAGCCCGCAATTCTTCTCTGAAATTAGTCGGAGGCTTTGCACAACAAGCGTGATTCGCTCTGCGCTTCTGATCCTTCGGATCTAGCCTACTGCTCTGCAGGAAAACCCACTTTCTCCAGCGGGCTGTACCCGTGAACGTGTTTAACAAGGGGACCCAAACCGAGCGCTTCCGAAGCACGGGATGCGTTACGCTTACAGCGGTCGGGGCTTACACGCAGGAATCACGCGGCGTTCAACCAGCACACGGATGGGTTAGCAGAGAGCCGACAGGAGCACGGCCCAGGAAGAGGCTCCCAGTCCCAGCTGGCCTGGCCCCAGGATATTTAAAGTGACACTTTAATGAGTTTTCTGTAGGTGAAACTTATTTTAGGGAGTTTGCTGTGAAATTTGAGAGTTGCTTCCACAAGAGCTTCTTCCAGACTGTGGAGGCCAAGGAATTCTTTGCAGCAGTGACCAGGGAGGCAGACCAACAACCCAAGGCTAACACCCCGCCAAGTCCTTGGGGATTTTTGAACCATTCCTCCTTTTCACACCCAAATCAAACAACTTGAAGGCGAACAGCCCGTGCCCTCGGCTGGGCAGCAGCAGCACAGGGTGTCCTCAAACAGGCTGGGGCAGAGCAAAGCACCGCTCCGTCACGAGAGCGCTGTGGCTTTTGCCAGGTGCGCACACCCGAACAATCGAGTTCCGCTCCTCCTCCACCCTCTAGACATTCATTAACTCTCCAGAGACAAGCAGTGGAAATCCTGGAAGGCTAATTACGGCGCACAGCACTGTGAAGTGTTCACTTCTAGGCTGCTATGCAGAGCACATGAAGGGAGCTGCGGAATTCATTCCCTCTTCCACGGCACAATTACCGCAAGAGCCGGTTAAGCCCTTCCGTTATGTGCTGCTTTCAGAGAAGGGAGAGCATATGGCAAAAATAACCCCAGAACTGCAGCTCCCCGATCAAGCTTTTCTGCACAAACACACAAAAACCCAAGTGAGTCAGCACCGCTGACTTCCCCCCTCTCTCTGGTTTAACCCCTTAAATGCTGTGTTGCAAAGAGAGAGGTCTGAGGGACAAACAAAACATCACCCACCACCCCCCGCCATGTAGTGTGGTCTTTTGGGTGAGCTTTTTTTCTGCTGCTCACGTTGATCTTTTATGTAGCAGCACACGGGGAGGAAAACCTCTTAAAGGTATGGAATGAATTATCTCGAGTCCCGACCAGCGGGAGCGCGGGCAGCTGCCGCAGCTGGAAATACAAACCGATCTGGTGCCCAGCGTCGTCATCTGGAACAGCAGCTGCTTGTCTCAAAATAAACAGACTCAAACGACGCGGGGGCCAAACCGCCCAGATGGAAGAGCCCTTCAGGGAGCTCCGATGGCTGTGTCCCCGCTGCAGTGCCAAGGGCGGGACGCCGTGGGCATTGCTGAGATAAACGCTAATCTTGCGGGCAGCGTAGCTGCAACGCCCCTCAGCTGCCTGCGCTCTGAGCGGGCAGCGAGCAGGGCTAACCCTCCCCCGTCAGCTTATCCTCCTTATTTGAGGATCAGCACCCTGAGAGATTCCTGGTAGCCACACAGCAGTTATCAGGGCTGAGCAATGCGGCTTGCAGCAAAGAGAGGGAACCAACCCTCTGCCCTTTTTGCTGCAGAGGAACACCGCACTTTCAGAAGTTTGAGCAACTTGGGGTGAGAAAAAAAAGAGAGGCCCCAGGTTTATTTACGGCCAGAGGAAAGAGCAAATATTAGAGATTAGAATTAATAAGTAACTCGAACTGGAGGATGGGTTTGCTCTCTGCAAGACTACCCAGGAGCTCAAGCAGCAGCCTTGTTTCTCAGCTCAGACATGCAGGCAGAAGGGGTTTCGCTGCACTGGCTCCAGCACACTCTTGGGAAGGCAGAAGGCCCTCGAATCCCTTGTTTTCCCTCACAGCAGTGCCCAAGCTCCCAAGGAAAAGCCTGGCCCTGCAACGCCAAGCCAGCGCTTGGCCCACGCAGGTGCTGCTGCTCAAATGGGGGTCCTCCTCACACACCACCCACGAAAAAGCCTCCCCACTACCCGTACAAGCTCCCTGCCAAACCCTGAGTCAAAGTGGGAACCACCCACCGTATATCCCCATCTGATTAAGAGCCCCCCAAGGTCCCCAACAGCCCCTGGGCAAAACACAGGCTGCCCCGCTCCCCGCCGGAGAATAGGAGAGCCCCCCCAGTCCCTATTCGAACAGGAGAGCCCCCCCAGTCCCTAATCGACACCCTGGTCAAAGGAAGGCCCCGCTCTGGAACAGGAGCCCCCACACAGCAAGACAAGACCCCCGCCCCACCCGCCCAGCACTGGGGGAAGAACC